TAAATTCAAATCAAACTTCAACTTACAGGTAGCTAAGTCTCGTTTAATTTTCAAGTTATATACGTCATCAGTCTACGTCACTACGGAGTACCATGAGACTTGAAAGATTTGAGGGTCAGCGAGTTGCAAGATGAAAGTGAATCCCAACCATCTCAGTGCTTCATACACCGTCTTAATAGTTTATTATCAAAGCTATACAAGATATATAAGTCATTCGCGATCATTGTTGTCCTCGCTATTAAAGTGATTAAGTATGCTGTTTCCAAAATTGGAGACGATTGGTTTATTATAATGTTTGGCAAATATTTCTGCATTTGTCCAACCGCCAGCTTTGAGTATGTCCTTATGGGACAACCCAGATAGGAATTCGTAAGACGAGGACGCCCTCCGGCTACTGTGAGCTGAGTAATTGTTTATGTCGATGCCTGAGCCTTGGAGGACACGTTTAACCCAACAACCAATTGTGGAATTTGTAACCGGTTTAAATGGTTTGACGTAACTTAGTAGCAATTTGGAATCAGCTCTCATAGGTTTAGTTTTAATAATATAGTGTTTAATATGGGCTACAGGGCAGAGGCGGGTGTCCTCGGAATAGCTTTTAACCTTGATAGGCGGGAGGTGTTTTCCCGTCTTCGTGATTTTTAGTTTCTCGCGTATTATAAATATAATTCCATCATCAGTTTCCTGCATGAAATCGAGGTCTAAGCTAGATAAGGTTTGGCATCGTTGTGCACTTAAAAGAGGCAATAAAGTTGTTAATTTTTTCGTCAATATTGATAGAGGTAGCTCCTGCATGGCAGGCAAGGACTGCATGTATTTAAGAACTGTGCCTACGTCCCACACGATCGAGTATCGGGGAAGGGATGGTTTAAGCTCGAAAATACCTTTGAGAAATCGGCTCACCAAAGGGCGCAACGTCCGCCAAACGTCCGCTCGCCACCCGGAGCCACCACCGCAGACAGTGCAGACCCCGCTGTGTTAATGACACTGTAGCCTACTCCTTGTTTGTATAAGAATGTAAGAAATTCGACCCATCCTGCATTTTGGTCTGCCCAATACTCATATCATCGTCCCTGCAAAACCCAATCCATCCCAAAAGATAACACCGGTATTGTCCGCCCGGCGCCATGACGCCATTATAATATTAACTGTTGCATCCGATAACCCTTGGGCAATTAGCTGTTGCCGGATAAGTGGCAGACTAGCTGCACCAGTGAAGGGGGTGTAACTCCCGAGGTTGGCGGGCAATTTCAGCAGGTTTCTCCCACGCGCGCTGGAGGTTGTCGGCACATTTGCATGGCTTTGGCATACCAGGATTGTGTTGGCCAGTCTGGCACTATCACTACCCCCGTCGCTCTTTCTTCCTGGATTTTTTGCAGTAATGCGGCTATGACACTAAATGGAGGGAAGGCATAGAACTGGAATTTAGCCTGGTGAAGTGTGAATGCATCTACCGCGATTGCACCTGGGTCAGGTTGGTATAACACATAGGTAGGAAATTGAGTATTAAGGCGTGATGCAAAAATATCAATGTTTGGTTGGAATCCAAAGTGGGTGAAAACACCCTTGAGGTTTGAGCTGTCAATCATCCATTCAGTGTGAGTACAAGTGCTGCGTGATTCAGAGTCGGCTATAGTATTGTCAACTCCTGGTATATGAGCAGCAGTTAGCCAAATAGTTCGGCCGATACACCATTCCCAGATACGTTTACCCAGAGTGTTTCAATTTGGGGAGTGACTATAGTACCCATATGGTTAATTACTGCGATTGTGGTCGTGTTATCAAGGAAACACGAATATGGGTATTGGTTAAGGATTTACAATAAGTCTTTAGTCCTAAGAACAACGCTAGTAACTCCAAATAGTTAATGTGGCATAATTTTTCGTCATCCGACCAAAATCCCCCGGTGCGATTGCCCTCGTAGACCGCTCCCCAGCCAGTGAGGGAGGCATCTTTTGCACATGGGACGGTTTACCTCGCGAAATAACATTTTTTTACTCAGCTATATTGTCGGCCCACCACTGAAGTTCAAGTTTTGAGTCTTCAGAGAAGGACATGTGTGCGTCAAAGTGTCCCCTACATGATTTGAGGGCTTCAGTTTTGTTACGTTCTAGAGCTCTATAATATAAAGGCCCATGCGCTACCCCCGTGAATGATGAAATGATCTTACCAATAACTTGCGCAACCTCTCGAATAGTAGGCTTATGTTTTGATAGTAAAGACACGCATAGTTGTCGTAAGGCTAATTTTTTCTCTGATGTTAGGGTTATTGTCATGTCGACAGAATTAATTTTGAAACCCAATAAAATCAGTTCCTGAGAAACCCAGGTCGTCGAATTGTAAAAAGGTATGGATAAAATTAGATACACATTGTTCAAAGGTGTTACCTTGAAGGAAAAGATCGTCGATATAACTAGCAATGATATGGCCCAATTTGTAGAGGGCAGTCAAAGGGGGTTTTAGTAATTTTGTTAATGTCCGTGGGCAACTTGACAACCCGTTTGGCAAACAAGTGAATTGATATAGAACTCCTTGCCAAACAAAGCGAAGGTATTTGCGATCAGGATGATTGATGGAGACCGAATAATATGCGTCTTTAAGGTCGAGCGAAGCCATGAAGCAACCTTGTTCTATCAGTTTCAGCATAGAGTGTAGGGTATCCATCATTTTTTAAATGATGATAAGAAACAAATTGATTTAGGCCTTTAAGGTTTAATATTAGCCTTTGGCTGCCATCTTTTTTCGGTGTTATAAAAATATTGGACACGACCTCGCCTGGAATGTGGGCGGTGACCTCAATAATACCTTTGGCGAGCATTTTTGCAATTTTCTGTTCTATAACATCCGATTCCTTGATCGAAAATGGGATTTTATATAGGACATGCGCGTGTTATTGTCGGAGTATCAAATTGATGATGGTGCCTGTCACAGTGTTCAAGATTTCTAGCTCAGAAGTTAACTTTTTCCAGGCTGAAATAAAGTTTTTAACATTGCCAGCCTAGAAAGTGTCGCCTCGAAGTCGTAAGTAGTTTGTTTAAACGGTCAAAAATAAGCGGAAATTGACTTACCGATAATTTAATCTGTTGTCAGCCCGATAGTCAGAATTGTTGTTTCTCGGTGGACGAGAATTAGTGAAACGATTATCGGGTCGATATTTTGGACGGTTGGTCCGGGCTTGTCTATTTCGGCTAGCGCCAAGGGTTTGGCTTATATTACTCGTTTCTTTGGCATCTCTCACTTGTTTAGCCAAGTCATCACCAAAGAGTAATGCCGGTGGCCTGGTCTGTTAGGCAGTTAACATCATCAGGTTGACCTAAAGTCACGGGGTTTTCAGAAGATTGAGTATCACTGTTGGTCGGATTCATGACGATATTTTGTGTTATCCGACTTATCCCGCGAAAAGCTAAATGGTGAAATAAAGCCCGAAAAGGACTAACTAATAAACCATTACCAAATTACTCTACGTTACTCACGTAACCAAGCGATATAAGTCTTGCTAGAAGAGTAAGCTTGAAGGATGCGAAGTTGCTGTTTAATTAACAAATCCTCAGCGATGGAGAAATTTGATGTTGCGGCTAAGAAAGCGTGTGTACAATGGCTAGGAAAGCGAGCGCGGGCTTCTCATGGTACTCCGTAGTGACGTAGACTGATGACGTATATAATTGCTTTTGAAATGAATAAGACGTTTCCAGACAGTTTAGGTAAACTAAATAATTCAATAATAGAAATATTTTGTTTTGTTTTTTTATCAAATGCGTACCAGTCTACTAATACGAATTCATGTATTTCTTGTTTGTTTCAAGTGCAAATACATGCCTTATGCCATATAATAACCTTTTTATTAACCTTGCTTGCTCGGTCTTTACCGAGAATTATCGGACCTCAATCTTTTTGTACAAACTTCCCTCTTAATTCGAGCTCGGTCAGTTTAAAAAGACCTCGGTCCGATATTTCTCGGTAAAGACTTCGCGCTCGGTTAATAAGAAGTTATTATTCTTATTATGAAATGTCGGTATTTATTTAGTTTTGTCTCCTTAAGTGGCCACGATTCGAGGCTGAAACAGATGATGTTGGTTATATATACGAGAGTAAAGTTCTGTGATATTTCTGTGATGTATACAGTTATAGAAACACGCGTGGGAGTTTGGGAGTACGAGAATTAACGAGATGAGTGGGTTTTCCACTGTATATTATTTATTTCAACTAAATGGAATTTATAAAAGACTTGAACGACAGTTTACAATCGGAAATGAAAAAGTCGAGTGCCAATAGATCTTAAGTACTTAAGAGATATTCTTAAGATCTTAAGAGATATTCTCATAAATTATTTGACATCAAAATACATTTAGCTCATACCATGTCTATAAATGAGAACATGCTTTCAAAATTTATGATGTCAAGAAAAATCCCATTTTCAGACACAAATAAGACAAACGGAATGTTTATGGATATTCTAAAATGTGAGTTTGTCATATGGGTAGTAGCAAGTCAGAAAGATTACTCCTGAAACAAATATCTCATGAAAACATTTTTTTCACCAGAAATCCCTTCGTTTAACAAGATCCTTGCGACTTTCCTTTATGACAGAATGTCATAAAATATGTGAAAATCTACTCCATCCCATTCTTTTTCTTCGTGTAGCCTATATAATTAGTACAACCATTTTGTTACAGTAATAAACCCTGTCTAATGCCATGGCTTCTGGCGAACTGCAAGAAAAAGCAAACTTTACGAGACTCAGTAGACTTTTAGTTGACAAAGGAACTGAGGCTTTGAGAAATAACTTTGATAACATCCATGTATCTGCTAATCTACCCGGAGTACTGACTGCAAACAAAAGATCTCTTCAAAAGTTAAAACCTCGAGTTATTAATAATTCCCAGTGGGATTTACTGTTTCCTCCGTCTGGCAACCCACCAGATTCCAAAACCTTTGATGTCACATTAATTACAGTTCTATTCCGGAACATTTGTAGTTTTCCATCAACAGGATGGGATGTAATGCCTCCGGATACAGATAGATCAGAGCAAGCGAATATCACAAGAATCAAGTGTTACAGAAATGAAGTTATCGCACATGTAACAACAACTCGAGTTGACAATTCAACATTTGAGTCTTTATGGAAGAAAATTGCGCAGGCGATAGTAGAATTGGGCGTTTCACAGAGTGATGTCGACGATTTAAAAAAATGTCCTCTTGGGCCTGAAGAAGAAGTGTATGTGCAAAAGCTTAAAGATTGGAAACTGCACGAAGATGAATGTATTAAAATGCTTGCAACAATGACACAAATCGTTGAAGAAACCCGCGATGGAGTAAATTTACTATGCCAGTCTTTGTTGAAGAAAAGTGAGAATGAAACCCCGCAAACTTCCCTCAAGCGCACGCTATCAATACCCGAGGATGCCAATCCTGAAAAAAATTCCTGCAAGGAGAGTGGTGAAGATGTGTTACGCAAACTTGCCAAACATAATTTCAAGAATAAAATTCAAAAAAAAGTGAAACTTTTCCTACCTGGAACGAGAGAGTGGTTGTTAAGGGAAGTTGACGAATGGTTTTGTAGCATTGATAGTGATTCGAGAATAAAGTTAATAACAGCTGGACCAGGATTTGGTAAAAGCGTTTTTGCCGCTAAAATCTGCGAAGATTTTGAGAAGAATGGAAAGCTGGCTGCTTGTCACTTTTGTGATTTCAGCAATTCAAACCTAAGAGATCCTATGGTGATGTTGGAGTCTCTCGCAAGTCAGATGTGCAAGAGCCTCCCTAGTTTTAAAGAGCAGCTCCTTGATCAGTTAGGACGACGTCATCAAGTCCAAAACCTGAGAGATGCATTTCTAATATATTTGCAAAATCCTTTAGATGAATTGGAAATAAAAGAGCCACGTTTAGTCGTGATCGATGGCTTGGATGAAAGTGCTGCTGATAATAAGAATGAAATCGCGCATTTGATTGCTGAATATTTTCCTGAGCTTCCCGAGTGCATCAAAATCTTGGTGACGAGCAGGCCAGAGATTTCCGTTGCTGATCTAAGACTAAGAGACGATCAAAAGACAGACATTTCCAATGTTCATGACGACAATAATTTAGATCTTGAACTTTATTTTAAACAATGTTTTCCAAGTTTAGTCGGCAGGGAAGTGGATAAAAGGGAGTTGAGCGATGATTTCTATAAGGATAATCTATATTTTTACCGCGTTCGGCGAAATGGAATTATTATTTTACTTTCCATTTTTGTTGCCAAATGCCAGGGCTCATTTCTCTATGCATATCACTTTGAATCTGGGCTAAAGAAACGCTATGATCTTAAGAAGATAACAGATAATGACGTCATGGAGTTTCTCCCAGAAGGTCTGCATTCTGTTTACGAACGATATTGTAAACGCCTTGAAGACGAGCTTAACGCCATAAAACACGAAAAATTCGATGTTTTGAAAATTTTAGAAATGCTGGCTGCTTCCGAAGAAGATGTTCCCCTCACTTTCGTCGCTCAGGTTTTTGGTTTAACTCCAGATTGTCGCGAAACGAAAGACATCATCAACAAAATTAATGAAACCATATCGTGCTTGTTGTACGTTTCAGATGACATGTTAACCGCTTTTCACAAATCCTTTATTGATTGGCTTCTAGCAAAGGGCTACAAAGATCACCAGTATACTGTCAAGGTCGATGATGGACATAGATCGCTTTGGCTTTTATGCGAAAAGGTTTTTAAAGGTATGGTGGAAAGTGTTCGCTAAGGACTTGAGGTGAAGTTTACCAATAACTTAAAATACGCCCTGAAACATGGTTTAAAACATCAAGAAAAGTGTGAAATGGAGGAAGGTGTCTTTTGGTCAACTGATGTTATTATCGTATGTTATATGTTAACTGTATTTTATCCAAATGTATTGCAACGTTTCTGGCTCAAATTACTCCAAAGTTCTTGGATTAAAAACGAAGATTTACGTGCCCGTATTTCGTTCCATGTCACTGAATTTGACTCTTTGCAACCTACCCTGAGTGTATATTACAACTATTCAAGAAAAGTTTATTCCACATTATCACAATCGTATTTACAAGCGGTTCTTACACATTCTCCAGAAGGTTATTTCAGCGATGATGAGAAAAAAATCGCGGAGACGCTACTGTCAAACGTTTCACCTTTTGTTGAGTCGAAGTCTTACGAAGTTTCGGTTTTGCCGCGAGCATTCTGGGAACCCGATAACTATCGTTTAATTACAGCTGTTGCTTTATCTAACGATGAAAAAAGAGTAGGAGTTATAACAGATAACTTTATCTGTGTGTTATCCCTACCAACTTTAGTTGAAATTATGAGTTATTCAACAAAATTGGAAACAAATCCATGCTGTACATTTTCTCCAGACGATTCGCTCATATTATTTGGTAAACTGGAAACGGCGTTTAACATTGCTGGAAGAAAGGAAGTTCCATTTTTCCCTGGAAATGAAGAAACGTTCGTGTCCTGTGCATTTTCCCCTAACGGCAAAAGACTGGTGACTAGCAACCATTCAAACACCATCAAACTATGGGACGTTGCTAAACAAAAATTGCTGTCGTTGTTTTGTGCTGGATTTCCTGTTGGTTGGTGTTCTTTTAGCGTCACAGGGTTATTTATTATTGGAAATTCAGAATCTCGATCTTATCCGGGTTATTCGTTGTGTGTTTGGAACGCCATCACATTGCAAAGAAGTGATAAGCAAAAATTATCTCACGTGGAAAGGGAGAAACCAGATGTGTTAAAGAGTAGGAAATGTGAACGATGTTTTCAGCGGGGATTTGAGCAACCAAATTTTAAACACTTAGAAATAAGGACAAAAAATAACATGAAGTCGTGTCCGTGGATCTGCAAATGTGTGGAGTGTATTATTTCTTCGAATGAATATTGTTATTCGAGTGACACAGAAAGTATTCCTTTGACTGCGATTGTTGCTTGGAACTATCTTGCTACAGCTCCTCCACAGAATTTTTTTTATCAACTCAAAATGATACTTTTAGGAGATAATCTGTGGCTCTATTCAGATTATGAAAAACTAATTGTCTTTAAGACATTAGCTCCCACACAAGAGCAATCCTGTCTGTCACACCCAACGGAAGTTTATTCGAGTTCGTTTTCTCCTGACGGTTCTCGACTTGCATCCTGCAATTCAGATGGATATATCAACGTATGGAATGTCTATACCAACCAAGTTGATCAACGTTTCAACATCAGTCAATGTGGGTCAATGTTTTTATGCTGGTGGTCGGAAGATTTCTTGTTTGTGATTAGTGAATTTAACAGGATTCCCAAATTAACGCGATACCCAGTAGATGACAATCTAGAGATCTTACTTACTCACAGTCAGGACGTGGCGCTGGACGACTTGTCTGATTTCAGTCATTCACAGCCGATTCGTTTTTCTGAAGGATTTTTCAGCTTGGGTCTCGAAAGAAACAAACCTGTGAAAGTTCTCGATGTCAGAGATGTTGATGGTCCTGTAATGATCAATTTGCCTGGAATCGAGCCTGAGATGGAAGTGAAAATTTCGCCCGGTGGTACCTTTATCTCTAGTTGTAATAGGAATAAATGTTATATTTGGAAAAGAAATACCGAAAACCCAACTTCATATGAAGTCTTTTATCAGCGTGACACTGGAAGTTTGCCTTCTGTCGTAATTTTCAGTAATGATTCCAAAGTCGCAATAGTCATGCACAGGAGTTCTGCTCAGATAATTGATCTGGACACTGGTGATTCTCAAAATATAACTCCTGCATTCCACCCCATTATTTATTTGAGGTCATTTTGTATTCACAAAAGTAGAATTGTATTAACTTTATCTGATCACCTGATAACATTTCATGACATGGACTCTGGCGCGATTCTCAACACTTCCTATCAACCATACTTGAAGACTTTTTGGTCAAGCCAAACAATTCAACTTTCCCCAAAAGAAGACGTGCTGGCTTTTCCTGACCGCAAAGGCGATATGGTTTTTCTTCGACTGTCAATTCCACAAAATCCTTTGTTGGACGATATCAAGCAACGGGCAGTTGCTTTGTGGGACGATATTGAGCCAGGTGCATTAGTCAATCCTTTCTTTAACCGCTTTTAACCGGAATAAATTTTGTTACATGTTGGGTTTTCCCGCAGGTTGTTTATACCAATTAAATGCGAATGTCTTTGTTCTTAAAAATAACTGAAGTTAACGCGTTCACACGAGGTAAAAAACCAATAGGAGAAGACTTAGTTGATAAAGACTTTGTTATGAACGACAGATGTTTTGGAATTTGTTTTTTCAGTTAGGATATTTCATAATAGATTTAGTGAACAATAACATGAAAAACTATCATCAAGAGCATTGTTTTCGGGCAACGGCTAGACTTTGCTTGGAGCTGGTCTAGAATGGAGAAGTAAGACACCTCCTTCCCTCCGTTTGTCTGGGAGTTCACCTTGGGCAAGTGATAGCACCCCCTTGCCTCCCTAACTGGGGTTACAGTTAACAAAACAAAGATGGTATCTTCAATACATCTGCAATCTTAGAATTGAAATCTGTCAGGCAGAACGGAATATATGAGTAAACATCACCTCAATTATCTACCCTAATGGAACTGCAAATACTATGTACATTACAGAGAACATTCGTTTATTAGCTGGAAAGGAAGATATTTATAGTCTGAAGCGGAGATGGAAAATTGTAAAAACTTGACTAAAATGTGAATAATATTATGTTCAAAACATCTGATGTTTATGAAAAAGAAGGTCACGAAACAACACAACAATTAATATCTTAGGCGTGTTTCAAACGTCGTTTTTTGGTTTTTAATGCGTTCGACACTTGAAAGAAGAACGACGTTTGAAACAGGCCCTAACTGACCCTCAAGAAGAATTTCCTTGAAACGTTTTTGTAATATTTTTTTGTAGAAAATAGTACGCAAACTTTTTAATTCCTAAGCGCTAAGTTCCATTAAATCCCGTTCTCTACTTGCAGAATTTATTCTCGCGAACTGATAAAGAATTAGGAAGCGATCCTACATTTTCGCGGGGAATTTCTTCGCGGACCAATCACATCACCGGTTTTTAGATTCCGGTACGCGTCGCGCGAATAAATTCCCCGAGTGGAGACCGAGCTGATGTGAATATTTTCTATGAGAATAAAATATCTATATAAGGCATACGAATGGGAGAGCTTTGTTTTGTTAACTAATAAAACGTGGTGTCTTTAATAAACGAACACGCAACTATATTGATCGGTAAACAAACTAATATCAAGTGTTGAAATAGGATATTATGACTTAGAAAGTGTCTGGTGCACACAAGTACATATCTGCTTGATATTTAATCATAGGCAAAAACTTATCCTTAGATTAATTTATAACCAGTCTAAAATATCTCCATCGAAACCTCTTTTTATCCAGTCTAAAATATTACCAATCAAGTATAGAGTGTTGTTTAAAACAGCAGTATTTGTTCATAAAGGTTTGAATAAACATAGTCCAGAATATCTCAGTAACATGTTTACACCATTGGCAGCTGTATCACAACGAACTACGAGAAATTCAACCAACATGAACCTCTGGATTCCAAATTTCAAGCATGAAACATTTAACTTTTTCTTCGAAATGTTTGTCAATAGTAATTCGTAATTTTCCTGTTTGTATTTTTGTGGTGTAAAAGCAAGTTGTATACATAATATGTCATATGTTTGTAATCGTCCTCTATATAGAAGGCCCAGTGGAAGATTAGCATAGGCTAAACTGGTGTGCATGTACTATATGTATGTACTATATACCTTCTTTAAATAAAGTTTATTATTATTATTATTATTATTATTATTAGGCTGTTGCCAGCATTGATTGTAATTTGTATAGATTTGTAATCGTTTGTAAACCGTTAATTAACCATTTTATTACATATTTCACTCAGTTTTTGAATTTTCTAATTTTCTATATCTGTTGTTGTTAACGTTCTTATACACTGGCGGTCAAAAAGAGCTGCTCAAAACAAGTTAAAATGCTCTCAAATGAACGTAACTGTTCCTCTAACAATATATACGAGCAAATATAGACTAGATTACTTGCTAAGCTATATGAAATACTAATATTTTGTTGACCCTCCTTTGGCCTTATAATTGATGACGGCCTTACACCGGCGTGGCATACTTTCTGTTAAGGTGGTAAACTTCACGGTCAAAAGAAATTCATCCTATATGGACAGTCTTTACAGCAACGCATAAATGCTACAGCAACGCTTTATGAATGAATTCCTTTTTGCACTATCCCCTTGACATTGTCCCACAGATTTTCAATAGGGTTAAGGTCTTTTGACTGTGCAGGCCAATCCATTTCTGTCACTCCCTCTTTCTGAAACCATTGTTTGTCAATATCTTGGAAGTGTGGCAGGTTGCATTACATTATTGAAATATTGTTTGGAATAAAAGAATTATATAAAATGCCTATGAAGCTCTCTCCTATATTCGCTTCTTTTTTATGAATTTGCATCTAAACAGTTCTTTTTGACCGCTAGTGTACAATGAAAGATTGATTGTCACGATTCCTGTTACATACGATAATAGCAACATTTGAGCAGTTCTTTTTGACCGCCAGTGTATTACGAGCAATCAATGAGTGTAAAAGTTTTCTGGTGTGATATCACCTTGGCGAAATATCACCTTGGAGGTAGTTACACCAAGAACCAGGGTTCCCAGATTGGCTAAAAAAATTACCTGAATCATTATTACCCTCAAGAAAACAGAGGAAACAACAGAAACCAATGAAGGGATATTCGTGACCGCGAGGTCTTTCTAGGAAATTGTTTGGTGAGGTTTTGGGTGGGAGCGGAACCAAATAGTTCCAACTATAGAAATTGATAATTTATAGATGGGGAAGTTGTGGGGGGCCCCATAAAATTTGTTGATCATGAGCAGATTAAATAATTACTGCAAAATGGCGGGAAAGAACAGCAGGAAAAGCTCTGGTTGGATACGAAAACAAATGTTTTAATAGAAGCCTATGGTGCTGAAGTCATTCAACAAGTTATAAAATGCAAAAATACCGACACTATAACACGAATAAAAAGATTCGTTTTTTGTTCGAAGAATAATTTTTTTAGAAGGCCTTTATGGCATGATTACCAGATGATCTAACAAGTTGTCTTTATTTCCTTTATTTTGTCAACTAAAACATGTTCATTTGCTTCAATTGATTCATCTGTGCTTTGTTAATCTGCTGACTTATATAGCAACTGCGGTGTGGTTATGGGTGCCAAAATTATTCTATTGGGTGCTTTCTAAAATTTTGTGGTATTCAGGCCTAAAAAGAAAAATAACGCGTAATCTGGCTTAGTTACGGCGCCAATTTCTTTTGGCCTGCCTTGAAAAAATTAAGCGTATCGTACCAAAAATGTTTGTTCTATAAACGGGGCTAAGTAAATGGAGTTTCTCTGCATGTGTTCTTGCCTTGGTCCGCTACTGATATTCTAATATTAATTAAAATCACACATAAAGGCTTTTTTGACCAGTCATTGGTAACTGCACATTTATGTTTCTGGGACTACACAAATAGCTTTGGAACAGTACATTTTGTGTAGATCTGCACGGTAGAAAATCTCTGGTCACTTCCATACGAGGAGGATCCTAGCTTTCAATAAGGAAGATCTCGCCGACACAAGACAAAATCAGTAATAAGGAATTTTAACAAAGAAAATTAGACAATAACACAATTAGACTGCTTCTGCAAAGTGTTTTAGAAAACTGCAACTGGCGTAGTTTATCACTAATTGATCCAAAGGGTCCGTGAACACAATCCATGCTTGGGTATCCCGTAATTGAACTTTGTGTGGTTTATTCTAATGTCAAATACGTCAAATATCAGAAGCATAATTAGTCGCACGGATATTGAAATGCTCTCAGCAATATCAACTTATGGAAATTATATTGTTTTTGACACACGCTGTATGCATGACTTGAGTTCATTAAATACTGACCAGCAGGATACCATCAGAGTGTTTGGTGTATTCTTGTTCGCTAGGTTTGTGTACATTTCTTACCGTCTATTTGGTTTGGTTCTGACTTAAACTCGCTGAATTATGGCGACGTAGTTGGATTGTCGGTTCCAATAGTTGATAAAGGTACGTTCTTGTCTTTTTCTTGAAGATTATAAATAATTTTACTTCGTCAACAGCGAGATATGCCAGACACGACACAGCGCTGTGGCGTCATGTTAAAACGTTTACTAAAACCTTGAATAAAATCCAGAATCTTGCTCCGAAATATCCTTTATTCATCTTACTATAGCATATCATGTTGGTTGTCAATAATTAAGCGATTGGCTTGAGCAAATTTGTCTTTTATAATTGTAGCAAAAGTGAATTGTTGCTAGGGCTCAGATATTAGGTCATAGCGCGTCATTTATGGTAGTTGGTAGTAATGGCAAATTTGTTTTATCTGAGGACCATTTCAACCATCGTCCTGTTTATATGTCACTAGTTTAAAATTGTTTATTCCACTGTCAAATTGACTCCATTAGCTTTCGCTAATTCTTCGACGATTGCGACATCAATTATAAGCAGAAGACAGCGCCTTCGAATCGTTTTTATGTTTAATTCCTTGCATAAATTTATCACCATCTCATTGTTGTCTTCAGAAGTTCATTTCAGCTGATATTTATATTGGAGCAGCAATAACTATATTATTAACATATAATTTAAGTTGAAACTGAAATATTTAAAAAAACTACTGATAAATATTGAATGAAAAGTATTTCACATGAAATTATTTGATCATCGAGCACTAGAAAGTGTTGGGATTATCAGCAAGTGTCATTTACTCATGAGAGATTTTCGAGTGTCAACGTTCCTCTTAAAAATGCATGTGTTAATATGTTTGTGTGGGTGCATTGATATTATTGACAATGTTTCATTAGTTTTGAATTGGGTTTTTCAGCAAAATATCGATAGTTTATATTTAAAGTACTTGGTGTTGAACTCAATGTTTGAAGTCAACGTTAGTTGTGGTTTTACCAGGTTTCAAAATATATATCAGAGATCTCGACACAAGATGAAATCAGTAATACGAAGTAATTACGCGCATTAGGCCGATGCATTTAACACTAGGGATATTTTACAACATTGAGTTGAATAATTCAACCAGCAGGATATACCATCAGAGTGTTTGGTGTATTCTTGTTCGCTAGTAGTGTATTCTTGTTCGCTAGTTTCTCAACCATCGTCCTATTTATATGTCACTAGTTTCAAATTGTTTATTCCTCTGTCAAATTGACTCCTTGCCTTCCTCAGAGGCTTTCAACCAAGAATTTATAGTCTGTTTATATCACAAGAGCAAAGCTGTCTAAAAGCTTTAAAAAGGCGAAGAAACTTAGTAAGGTGGATTAGTTTGACATCAGTTTTGAAACTGTAAAATGACTGAAATGAAACTACCAGGCGAAGTTGGCTTTTAATATACAATCTTTGTGCATTGGCCAAAATCTACTGACCCAAGTTTACGCAACTGTGCGGCGAACTTATTTTTAATCAAATTGCCTGAAATTCTCATACTTTGTAAACAAATAGCTAAATTTCATGAATACCTTCATTTCATAAAATCAAAATTCATTTTTAACAAGTCATTCATGCTCGCACAAGCCGTTCAAAATGAGGTTTTTACAAACCCTTCTCCCGTTTTTCCAGGTTAAATTTCATGTTAAAACAAAGCAAATTCCAAATAAATTCATCTTATAAACTGAAGATTTGGGTTATTAATTAAACACACAACACGCAGGTGTAATTCAGCTTATGTTTCGACTTTTCTAAAGTCATTGTCATACCAAGTGACAACTATAGCCATAGGTATTATAGCTATAGCGCGATTATAATTCGCTGAAGCTACCCGGCAAATTGACATCTCTATCGCAAATTATATTTTGCTTATGCATGGCAAATAGTATCTATAGTGCAGCTCATATTTCGCTAAGGCAGATTAGCTCATTGAAAAACATACCTTCCCCAGTCTTATTAAAACAAGACGCCTGTTCTGGCGTTAACTCCGGCGCGTCGTGCACGTGCCAGTCCAATATAAAGCTTCTGAACATAAACAATACAGTTGATACTCATTTAGATGCCTTGCCAAACTAAATGTTGTTCGATCGCGACATTCAGAAGCACAGTGCTCTAAAAAGTACAGAAGTTCAATTGTTCAAAAATGTAAATAAACCGCATGATACGTTCACTTTGTCTTACACTTTGCCTTTGGAATTCGCGCTTATATTTTTAAAAATATTCAATCCTGTGCAAACCGCGACGTGTCAAAGCGCCCATACACGACCACATCTTTTGTTAAACGGCAAAATAGCAGCGATATTATTAAAATAGGACCAGAATCTACATGTATTGAATATATTCTTACCCCAATTAAATCTAAACTTAATCGAACAGCATCAAAAAACGGTTTATTTGTTTTTTTTGGAGGAATTGCTGTATCATGCGGGCGAAATCAAATCGCGCATCGCAAAATTAGTCAGAGATTTCGAGTTGTGCACCAGAACTCTTGGGAGACAAAACTGTGACGTAGATAAATACGGTCTCATACACTTTTCAAATTCTAGTATATTTCGCGCTAAAACACACTAACGACGACGAAAAATAATAAAAAACAACAAAAACAAAACAAAACCTAGGCGAATTTTCAACTCCGGAGTAATTACTAGCTTAGATTGGAATTACGTGATTATTTTGGAGTAAGGGGTAGGGTTATCGTTAAGGATTACGCTTTTACATGGGTGATATAATTAAGTAATTTCTTGCTACTGCTTCTTTATTACCCTAGGCTTATGCATTATGTGTTATGACGCGTTACATGACGTAATATTTCTCCTTGAATTCACAGCTAAATTTAACATCATTTTAAGCAGTTCTTTAAAGGCCTCCAATTTCTAGCGGAGATGATGATCTAGCATTAAAGTATTTCTCATGCATTAAGGCAAAATACTAACATAATTAGGAACTGGACAGGCGGAGATACGTCTTTAGCAATAGGGTATTTAACAAATCCTTCTGTATTCTGCGCATATAGGGTAAATTTGTCACGTTAAACGTGGTACTGCGCTCGCAGGTTTAGTCTGTAACCGTTGTTTTGTTTTCCTTTTTAGAGAAAGTTTTCCAATGGCGGATCCTGTCGATGAAATTGGTAAAGCTGTTCATGGCAATGCCCGTGAAGGACTCTGTGCTACAATTTCTGGGCCTGGCAGATTATATAAGATAAAAATTGACGCCGATAAAGCTGTTGTTAAAGACATATTACTCGCAACAGTCTCACTAGGAGCAATATATGCAGGTTATAAATTAATTGCACGAAAAATGGACGGGGCTGTTGATAAAGGTCTTGGCGGTGAAAGAGATGACCAAGATGTTCGGGACATCAAACCGAAGTGTCTACTCGTCATCCTGCATTGTTTTACGGACAAAAGATTTCTGGAGGTTTTAGAAGATTTTAAATCCGGAGGAATGAAAGAACGCTTGAGGAGGGAATTTTTTAATGTTGGAATTGAAACCGAGGGATTGACGGTTGAAATTGAGAATATCGAAGAAGTAGAAAAAAGAGCAGCGGATATAAAAAAGAGGTAAAATTAAAACAATTTTTCTCGATGCATGGCACCTAATAGTTGATTATATATATAAAGAAAAGAAATTGGACTGGGCAGGATAATTTTTAGCCATGAAATAATCAATACATATAATAAAGGCTTCCCAATTCATTTGAAAGACATTGATCTATAGGCATAAGATAGCTACACCGTGGTTTAAATTTTTTCTACCAGTCTGCTCTGAGTCACTGGGTGTAAATAATAGCCTGTGTAAATTCTTATTAACAGTAACATTGGAAAGGATGATGGAAGTCATGGACAATAAGACAATGCAAGTGACTTGAATTTTGAAAAGTCAGAATGTTCCAGTGATTCACGAAGAGAATTTGATGAAAAAAATGGTAAGTATAAACAAAATTAATTCGTACCCAGGCGGCAGCAGCAGTACTACAGAGATCGGTGGCGAAGAAAGCGTGAGCGCGCGGGGGTGTTTCTGGCAAATTGCGTCGATTTCTGCCGAATGTGGTTTTAAAGTACTTTTTTCTGTACTTTGATGAAAATCTTTAACAACTATGAACGCGCCGGAAAAAAGTCACCATATGAAGGTATTTAATGCTTCCGTTTTGTTTTTCTTTATATTAATACGGCTACTTTTGAATATCCCATAAGCCAATTATCGTGTATTGGCTTTGCGCAATGTCACAGATATCCTCTGTTCTGTAATTTCAATTAAATCAAATAATGTTTTCCTGGTTGGGAAAACGTACGCTAAAATGTAATAAGGGATTCTAAAACGACAAAAACGGACATTCGTCTATTGTATATTTTTGTGTACTATTTTGCATATTTATAAAATACCAGCCAAAGGCAGCAGTTTTTAATCCTGAATGATGTCCACATCTTTTCTGTTAAATGTATGAATATGTTCTGCCATAGGCGAATTTAGTTCTGATGATGCATCCTTTAAACAACTTTTTAAGAGTAAGAGTCAACAGCATTTAAGTATATGTTTATATTTTATATGACTCTTTATGATTAAGCTTAAGCAATGCTAACATATATTTTATAAGCACTCATGATACAGCTGAGTGTGAGGTTTATTAGGAGACATCAAGTAGATCAGTCAGTAATTCGAAGAAGCTTGGTTTTGAAAATCATCAATTGACACCAGAGGTTAGTTTGTGTTGATGAACTCAGAATATTTGGGTATTACTTTCATGTAAAGAATATTTAGTCTAGTTTATTTTATATAGGGAGTTGAGCTTCAACGAATATTTAAGAAATTTGCAGTCAGAGAAGAAATGAAATGGCATCCAAACGTGATAAATTTTGGAGTACTGGGAGAGTCCAAATGAAAATGCAGAACAATTTATGCTGATAGAGGATCAAAAAGCATTCTTACCAGAAGCATTAAGTAATTATTTACAAAAATAAGCAAAAGGAATGTTATGATTGGAGCTAAAGATTATGCAATGTTGCATGCTTGCTGAAAACACATGTACTATACTGGTTTCCTTACAAAAAATAATAAAATAATAATAAAAGTGAGCAGACATTCTTTGTGCCGTTAGCAAGGCACTGAAGTGTTTATTTCTCCTGCATTTCTCTAGTAAATTATGCGCGCACATTCATTCCATAAGGCTAAGCAAATATTCGCGTTTGTGGCATACTCTATGATGATGATCCACGCCTGTTTCTTCGAAGAATTCCTTTTTGGGATTAATTCTTTGAATTACTTTAATTTTTATGCCAGCAAAGAACTTTTGCCGAAAGAACCGAATTATGTACCTGATTTTCAAATTCTTCAATTATCTCCTTTTATACATTAAGCATACTGAAAAACGGTTATGGTAGGATTCGAACCATCGATTTACCACTTATGAGACCATTGTCCTCGCCACTAGACGCAAGATCTTGTGCTGGATGGCCATGGTTATTTAGTTTACTTTACCTTTTACGAAGTTCATAATGAAAACGGTTATGGTACGATTCGAACCATCGATTTAACACTTGGGAGACCATCGTCTTCGCCACTAGACCGCAAGGTCTTGTGTTGGATGACCCTGGTTATTTAGTCTACTTTATCCTTTCACGAAGTTCATAATAAAAAATAGTTTTGGCGGGATTCGAAATATCGATTTAACACTTGGGAGAAAATTGCCTTTGCCACAAGACCACAAGTTCTTCGGGTGAACGGCTATGTTTATTTGATCTATTTTACCGTTCTCACGAAGTTCATAATGAACAACGGTTATGGTAGGTTTCGAACAATCGATTTAACACTTGGGAGAAAATCGTCTTCGCCACTAGACCACATGGTCTTGTGCTGGATGACCCTAGTTATTCAGTCTACTTTATCCTTTCACGAAGTTCATAATAAAAATAGTTTTAGCAGGATTCGAAACATCGATTTACCACTTAAGAGACAGTTGTATTAGCCATTAGACTGCAAGATCTTGTGCTGAACGGCGATGGTTATTTAATTTACTTTATTCTTTTCACGAAGTTCATAATGATAAAAGGTTATGGTAGGATTCGAATCATCGATTTAACACTTGGGAGAAAGTTGTCTTAGCCACTAGACTACAAGATCTTGTGCTGAATGGCCATGGTTATTTAATCTACTTTATTCTTTTCACGAAGTTCATAATGAAAAAGGTCATGGCACGATTCGAACCATCGATTTAATACTTGGGAGAAAATCGTCTTCGCCACTAGACCACAAGGTCTTGTGCTGGATGACCCTAGTTATTCAGTCTACTTTATCCTTTCACGAAGTTCACAATAAAAATAGTTTTAGCAGGATTCGAAACATCGATTTACCACTTAAGAGACAGTTGTCTTAACCATTAGACTGCAAGGTCTTGTTCTGAACGGTCATGGTTATTTAACTTACTTTATTCTTTTCACGAAGTTCATAATGAAAAAGGTCATGGCAGGATTCTAACCATCGATTTACTATTTGGGAGACGATTGTCTTCGGCACTAGACTGCAAGTTCTTGTGCTGAACGGTTACGGTTATTTAATTTATTTATCCTTTTCACGAAGTTCATAATGAAAACGGTTATGGTAGGATTCGAGCCATTGATTTAACACTTGGGAGACCATCGTCTTCGCCACTAGACCACAAGGTCTTGTACTTGATGGCCATGGTAATTTAGTTTACTTTACCCTTTTACGAAGTTCATAATAAAAAATGGTTTTGGCAGGATTCGAAACATCGATTTACCACTTAAAAGACAGTTGTATTAGCCATTAGACTGCAAGGTCTTCTGCTGAATGGCCATGGTTTATTCTTTTCACGAAAAAAAGAAGGTCATGTCAGGATTCGAACCATCGATTTAGCACTTGGGAGACAATTGTCTTAGCCACTAGACTACAAGATCTTGTGCTGAATGGCCATGCTTATTTAATCTACTTTATTCTTTTCACGAAGTTCATAATGAAAAAGGTCATGGCACGATTCGAACCATCGATTTACCACTTGGGAGACAATTGTCTTACCCACTAGAATGCAAGATCTTGTGCTGAACGGCCATGGTTATTTAACTTACTTTATTCTTTTCACGAAGTTCATAATGAAAAACGGTTATGGTAGGATTCGAACCATCGATTTAACACTTGGGAGACCATCGTCTTCGCCACTAGACCACAAGGTCTTGTGCTGGATGACCCTGGTTATTTAGTCTACTTTATCCTTTCACGAAGTTGATAATAAAAAATAGTTTTGGCGGGATTCGAAACATCGATTTAACACTTGGGAGAAAATTGTCTTTGCCACAAGACCACAAGTTCTTCGGGTGAACGGCTATGTTTATTTGATCTATTTTACCGTTCTCACGAAGTTCATAATGAAAAACGGTTATGGTAGGATTCGAACCATCGATTTACCACTTATGAGACCATTGTCCTCGCCACTAGACGCAAAATCTTGTGCTGGATGGCCATGGTTATTTAGTTTACTTTATCCTTTTACGAAGTTCATAATGAAAACGGTTATGGTAGGATTCGAACCATCGATTTAACACTTGGGAGACCATCGTCTTCGCCACTAGACCGCAAGGTCTTGTGCTGGATGACCCTGGTTATTTAGTCTACTTTATCCTTTCACGAAGTTCATAATAAAAAATAGTTTTGGCGGGATTCGAAACATCGATTTAACACTTGGGAGAAAATTGTCTTTGCCACAAGACCACAAGTTCTTCGGGTGAACGGCTATGTTTATTTGATCTATTTTACCGTTCTTACGAAGTTCATAATGAAAAACGGTTATGGTAGGATTCGAACAATCGATTTAACACTTGGGAGAAAATCGTCTTCGCCACAAGGCCACAAGGTCTTGTGCTGCACGGTTATGGTTATTTAATTTACTTTATCCTTTTCACGAAGTTCATAATGAAAACGGTTATGGTAGGATTCGTCCCATCGATTTAACACTTGGGAGACCATCGTCTTCGCCACTAGACCGTAAGGTCTTGTGCTGGATGACCCTGGTTATTTAGTCTGCTTTATCCTTTCACGAAGTTCATAATAAAAAATAGTTTTGGCAGGATTCGAACATCGATTTAACCTTGGGAGAAAATTGTCTTAGCCACCAGACACAAACTTTGCGTGAACGGCTATGTTTATTTGATCTACTTTATCGCTTTCACGAAATTCATAATGAAAAAAGGTTATGGTAGGATTCGAACCATCAATTTAACAGTTGGGAGACCATCGCCTTCGCCACTAGACCAAAAGGTCTTGTGCTGGATGGCTATGGTTATTTAGTTTACTTTACCCTTTGTACGAAGTTCATAATGAAAAACGGTTATGGTAGGATTCGAACCATTGATTTACCACTTCTGAGACCATTGTCCTCGCCACTAGACTGCAAGATCTTGTGCTGGATGGCCATGGTTATTTAGTTTACTTTATCCTTTTACGAAGTTCACAATAAAAAATAGTTTTGGCAGGATTCCAAACATCGATTTAAAACTTTGGAGAAAATTGTCTTGGCCACTAGACCACAAGTTCTTCGGGGAACGGCTATGTTTATTTGATCTACTTTATCGTTTTCACGAAGATCATAATGAAAAAACGGTTATGGTAGGATTAGAACCATCGATTTAACACATGGGAGACCATCGTCTTCGCCACTAGACCAAAAGGTCTTGTGCTGGATGCCCATGGTTATTTAGTTTACTTCATTGTTTTCATGAAGTTCATAATGAAAAATGGTTTTGGCAGGATTCGAAACATCGATTTACTACTTAGGAGACAGTTGTCTTAGCCACTAGTCTGCAAGGTCTTGTGCTGAACGGCCATGGTTATTTAGTTTACTTTATTCTTTTCACGAAGTTCATAATGAAAAAAGGTCATGGCAGGATTCGAACCATCGATTTAACACTTGGGAGACAATTGCGTTAGCCACTAGACTACAAGATCTTATGGGGAATGGCCATGGTTATTTAATTACTGTATTTCTTTTGACGAAGTTTATAATGAAAATCGGTTATGGTAAGATTCGAACCATCGATTTACCGCATGGGAGACAATTGTCTTCTCCAATCGACTACAAGTACTTGTGCTGAACGGCCATGTTCATTTAATTTACTTTATCCTTTTCACAGATTTATAATGAAACACGGTTATGGTAGGATTCGAGCAATCGATTTTCACTTGGGAGACCATTTCAGTTTGACAACCTTCAATCCAGCTGTTTTTGTAGCATTCTAGTAAAATTTTGTATGTTCCTTCACAGGCAGCTAGTGATCTAGAATAAAAATAACCAATGATTCAATATTTTGTCCACCACCACCCAAGGTGTGTGTACATAGCTTTTACTAGTAAACAACTCTAATATGTCTTTCCCTGAACAAGTAAAGTTGTCGGGTTTAAATAGAAATAAACACACTTACAATGATTTCACAACTTCTTCTTCTTCTCGTTCCCGTTTGCTTCTATCCGATTCGTTAAACAAGTTTTTAAAGAAATTCTCTAAAGCTGATAACGTGATGTTATCATTGAATCACCATCTTTTGGTGTATGGAAATGAATATTGTGTTTTCGTACTGCTTAATTCACGACCAATATGTCGGTTGGTCGGCAGCTCTATATATTTTTTATGATATTTATTTCATCTAACGAGTTTCGTACATCTCGACCAATTAATATGGCATTTAAGAGTACTAATTGCACGGATTTGGATGGATTGGCTGCGGATGGCATAACCTTGAGTATTTGTGGAGATATTGCTTTTCGATGTCGGGTCAACATACAACGAGTTGGTTTTGAATCTAAATACAAAGTCTCATTTGCGATTGCTAAAGAAACGAAACATGGATTTGTTAGTCTAGTCCTGTGTACGAAGCCTTCAAGCAGGATCTAACAATGTGTGTGGATGTTTCGCCTAATCCTGGTCCTCAATCTTTTGATAATAATCAGTCGGATGAGATGTCTCAACATCGAAAGCAGTTACGTTTGATGAACACGTTTCGACCCGCTAATAATCCTGAGGAGCTTAGTTCAATGCTTGGGCAGTTGAATCTACAGAAAGGTTGGTTGTTCCATATGACCTATAGGAATATTTGCTATAATACCTACTTCGCAAACACCACCGCCACACTATACAATCACTATCATCCTGCAAATCATCAGGAAGCTATCCCTGTTAGAATCACGGACCGTGTCCCAAAGCCTGTAAATATATATGGCAGAAATTATATTAAGAGAATCAATCTCATCAATATTCCTTTATCAGGCATTGCCAACACTCCTGATACAGCTGTTACTCAGCTTTGTTCTTTTGGTCTTCTCAACTGACGGTCTATTCGGAACAAAGC